TATAAATTATCCTGGTTTACTACAGCTTTTGCACTCAGTTTTGGTCGCATTATGACAATGGCAGAAATTTGATTCTGCCTTTAGCAACTGAATGCTTATTATTAGGTTGTTACTTTCAAGTGAAATGTTGTAAATCTCCAATAACCTTGGTTTGCAACAACCAGCTAGGGAGAGTTTCTGAACATTGCATAGCAGTAATTTTGTTGCTTTTGCTTGTTTTGAAGTCAGAAAAGAAAATCTGTAACTACTGGCACTGGGAAGGAGAACAAGAAATATTTCAGGGCTGAGAACCTAAAGTTACTCTGACACTTCCTACTCCTAAGCCTTCATTAAATCTTCTTGAGATGATGGAAATTTCAGAGAAGAGGAAGACTCTTCAGTCTGAGAACATATTACGTTGTTTTACGATTCTGGCCATTTTTGTGATTGCCATCACAGTAGATGGCATTGACGTAGTGGCTAGGGTGCATTTGATCACATAACAAGATTTAAAATCAGCACTATGCTGAATAACTCCTAAAGAACACTGTTCAAAGTGTGCACCATAAATTGATTTGTATTGCAAAATTCCACTAGAAACATAAGAATTACTTCTCTGTACATGGAGGTGTTACAGTGACACCACATCCTGTACAGAAGCTCTACTTTAGGGCAAACTTCATATTTTCCACGAGCGGTCATGGACCCCTTTGCTTTCTGGAGGATCTCTTGCAGTGCTGGCTCTTGAGCTGAGAAGGCAACAAATACGAAAACCTCCTAGTGCTGGTGCTGAGCCATAGTGGATGCTGTTTTCATTGCGTTTATAATTTTCATATTTTTGTGATTCCAGTTATTGTCCAGCAATGATTGTGCAATTATTGCAGTTCAGTGCTGGTCCAAATCTGTCACGAATCTAAAACGAAACCAGGCTGGAGGCCTGGCTGACGGTCTAGTTGTAAATGTTATTCTAATCTTAATCCTCTAGACAAACTTCAAATTTCTCAAGGAGGGGATCAGAAATGGTGAAGGTGGTATTGGAAAAAGATGTCAATCCTGTCTTGAGAAGTTAGTAAAACCATGATCCCCTGAAAAACAAACAACAGTGAAGCAACAAGTTACCTTCATGAAAAAGGGAGTCCAGCTAAAATTTTCTGCTACAGCTTCTATAAACCTTGAAGTTGCTGACAAAAAATATATCCATCCTCTGGAATTCCTGTGTTCTTCAGCCCACCCTGGACCTATGGTGGTTAGCTTTACAGCTCTTGGCTGAAGTGGGAGGAGTGCATTTGGGAGATGGAGAATACCCCTGCCTGCCTTCTTCCCATCCCTCCCTCTCTATGTTACTGGGCTTCTAGATAATCTCTGCTATGGCAATAGAAAGCAGGGAAAAAACCCACCTTGTGTTCCAACAATGGAATTCACAGGAACAAAGATCATTGTGGGTCAAAACCAATATCCTGAAAGTCCATCTGGAAACTGATAGGAGTTAAGGCTGTTCTGGGGTATCATACTACTTTGAAGGACTGAGCCGTTGCCTATCTGCATATTCAGTTTCTCTTGTAAAGCTCAGACCTGTCTGGAGTTCATGGGAACAGCAAAGTCTCAGAGTAAAGGGAATTAATTTTATCACAAATATAAGTATATAAAAGAGTAAGGGGCATTTGTCAACCTCTTGATCAGGTTAAAATAGAAGATCCCATGGCCACCTCTCCCCAAGATCACTGGGATACTTGGGAGCCTAAAAAGAGTCAAACAAGGAAGATTTGAAACCAGCCTTTACTGAACCTGACTGCCAGCATGACACATTTGGTGTTAGAGAAGAGCTTCTAACAATTCCCTGAGAAGTCATGATATTCTCCATTGTTTGCCCTCAGTGGTTTATTGCTGACCCTGTTCAACAGGGAAGTCTGAGTCCAGGCCATACTGTGCCTCATAACCTAGCTGGAGCAAAGTTAAAATTTCTGTGTCCTGGTGCATTACCATGGATGCAGCAACTCAGAACAAATCCAAACGACTTTCTCCATGGAATAATTTACATCAGCCTCTGAATTTAATCAGCCAAGGGCAGGATGAATCAGGCTGTCCATTACATAGCAGCTTGATGAATCTCTTGTGTTTGGATAAATTCATCTGGGAGGAAGCATAAATTCTTCTGTTTGCTGAACTCTGATATTATGCAGCCTGGATATTCAGTTATGCAACCAGCAGGATCCTTGCCAGCAGAACCATCAGTATTTTTATACATACATTTGCATTTAACGATGCCACGCCTTTTAGCAATGCATATTTAATCTCCCTTGGTCCAGGGAGGGAACACTGGGAGCTGACCAAACACAGAATGAATCCTGTGATTTGATGTCACTGATGATGTACCATCTTCTGGACTGCTTATATTGCAACTTACACAGGAAGATTTTTTTTGCCTGCTTGGAAAATCCAGCACCTCAACAGACTGACAAAATGAGATCAACAGATGTGTGCTGTGTGTAAGATGCATGTGTCCGGCTATTAGCTTTTCCTACTCTGTTTCTCTGCCAAAATTATTGGCTGCAGGCTTTGTGCTTTTGCTGGCTGTAAATATGTCCAACAGATCTGTCAGAGTGCAATTTGTCAGAAAGGAATGCATCAAAAAATGTAGTCACCTGATATACAGACAGTATCTCAGGACAAAGGAATAGACCAGGGAACCCTGTGTAGGTATGCAGGCAAACCTACAGCAACTTGGTGGGCGTAGTTGCACCGATATCTAGCATAGATTATTTTAGAGTGGTGGTATTTCCTTAGAAATTACTTGGCCCTACATTTAGTTTTCTGTATCACACTGCTGAAGGAACTTTAGCATTTTTCATCTGTTAGAACAAACATGATCCCACGTTTATTTGTTGATGCATATGTCCTGGTACGTGCCTGGATCTCAGTGCAGTGATACTGTTATGGCTTAGCAGGCATTTGAATGACAAACACTAAATTGCGTTGTTCTTTTTTTATATACTACTTATGTTTCTTTCTTTTGTCCTATTTTTGATGGTAATGTTAACCACTGAGCAAAGGAATACATTTATTTTTGTTTATCTAAGTTTTTACAGCTTCTGAGACCAACTGTCTGGATCTTACACTGTTTGGTATCAAAAGTAATACTGTACTCAGTATGAGTTCTTACAAAGTTAGATCATTTGGAATAGCAGATATCCACAGTGATGGCTTTCCTGCCTAAACTGCAGGTTATTCAGGAAATACAGAAGAATCCCTAGCGTTCTATTGGAAAGAGTTAGAAAACTGTCTTCATTAAACTAAATTATGATACATTTTTCAAAATGATGCTAATTAAATCCACTGCCATTGCTTAACTGCCGTTGTTTTAATGGCATTCATTTTCTCTTTTATGTCTGGTGGTGTATTTTGGTGTTTAACATATGCAAGTTTGCCTATTATTGTTGTTGTCCGTGCTTGAACTATCAGGCCTCAAGTACATATCTTACAGCAAAAAGTTTAATGAAAGATCCTAATAAAAGAGTTAGGGTAGCAAAAGAAGGAGGCATCAAGCCACGTTGCCACAGTGTTGGACAGATGACAGAGCAAAGTTGTACCCTGGAGGAATTTCTATCGATTGGCGGTAAATTATAAAGTCGTTGGTTTTTGGAAGGAAACCTGGGATGCTCATTTAAAACGAAAGAAATGTCTAAAGAGAGAAGGTTTTTGGAAACCCCAGAATGATGGGAGGGTTGCAGGTTCTGGCCAACAGCAGAGCACTATCTGCTTGCTTATCTTTTGGAAGCTTCTCAACAGAAGTATATTTGTGTGTTTATGACTGATTTTGCCAGATATACTACTAATGCTGATATTTCCTTTCAAAATAATTCATTTACACTATCTCTACGTGCCAGTACATAAAAAAATTAGGTGGAAATAGGAAAAATTCCCTGTGTAGAAGTGTGTGCTTGGCTCAGGTTTGACTTGAACCTTCAGAATTTGATTTGAAAACAGCCCATGAGGTTTTAGTCTTAACAGACTCTGCTTTCTGTAGATGTATTTGCCTGTAAGTAGAAAACAACCTACTTACAGGAAACACTGGCATCTTTGACACCATCTTGTGTGAAGATAGTCTGTGCATATTGCGTGACAGCTTCTTGACTTAGGTTTATTGATGTTACTTCTGACAGTGCTTCTTAAATTGTTTAGAAGCTTTCATATCACCCCAGAAATACGGGCATACAGTATTTGAAGATTTCATTTGTTTAATTTCCTAGGTAAAAAGAAAGAAAGAAGAAAGAATATATAACTAGAATGGCTTTGCTACACAGATAAGAGGATTTATAGTGCAAGACCTTGTTGCGGAGCACAGGATGCATGAGCGTGTGTGCACATGTCCATGGGCAGCAGCAAGAAATAAATTACGCCTCAATGTCTGTCAGATGGGGCAGTTAATTATAGCACCAGTGTGCCAGCGCTTCGCAGGGTTAAAGCTATTTTTATAGAGATGAGTAGAGACAGTGGCACTCCAGAAAACAGTGTTCATGTTGGTTGTACGTGTGTAAAGACAAACTAAACCCTCCTCCCACCAGGAGCTTGGTCATGCATTAACAGCTTCAATTAAACTCTTAGTGAAGTTATTCACAGGTGCTGCTTGAATAAGGATCTATCCAATGGTGTTTTCTGTAGGGGAATATTACACTGCCTGTCCATATGGTGTATGATTGCAGTACAAACGGTAATATTTTTTTCAATCTTTTTAACCTTGCACATGTAAGTAAAGACTGGGGAGAGAGTTATAACTGAAAGAAGTGGGAAAAGCAGGCAAAAAGAATGCTTGAAGATATGTAAGATTAGTTTGCCTGAGGATTCCATGTTTCTGTTATGAGATTTCTGGTAATTTAACATCTGGGATATCAACACTGTTATATGGAAAGGGACCAGATCTAAATTTAATAGAATTATATTGACTAGTTTGTATTTAAGACAAGTGTTTTTCGTGTTAATTTTAAATTTCAATGTATTGTGGTTTTTTTTATTATGTTTTTAAGCACCTGACCTTTCAGAGGGAGTTTGATTCTGATTCTCTCAGACACTATAGCTGGGCTGCGGACACCTTGGACAATGTTAACCTTGTTTCAAGTCCCATCCATTCTGGGTAGGTCACTTAACAGATTTCTTTTATCTTTAAATGTGGAAGTGTATTGTTAGCTGAAGAATAAAGGCTGCTGTAATGGCTGATAACATGTCTGTTCCTGCTCCAGTTGAAGCCAGTGGCAAAATTCATGCCAAAACATTGTCATCCCACAGCCTTCTCTTTAATAGTTCTGGTTTGCTTTTTCTGTTGCTTATGCTTGTGTTTGCTTTTAAGTGTCAGAAGGTGATTTTTTTTTTTAAATTTTATTAAATTAATTGGAATGTGAAATCAGAGATACAATGTTATGCTTTCTGTTCTTTCATAGAGGAAAAAAAATGGGGGGCTTTAATTTAACCGCTTATTTTATTTATACCTCTGAACTCCTGCCTGTTCTCCAAGATCTGTAGTTTGATTTTAGTGGTACTATTACTTTACATATGAGTCATCACTGTGGTTGTGGTGCTTCTTGACAGTACCACATAGACTTGATTTAAATGCAATAGTAGTGATGTTTGAATGCATATTGTAAAAATTTACAAATAAACGTGTAACTGAAAGAATTCATTGCATATGAGATTGTCTAGTATAAATATTTGTTGTTTAGTTTTCAAGATCAGGACATAAAATTTCATATACTTTTTAATTTACTTCTCCATTTTATGACTAATTACATTCTATTAATGAAAATGAGTGCAGCACATACCAAAATATTTCAGTTCCAAAACAGCAGCAAGTCCCACAGATCTAAAGCTGCAGTCCCACAATACAAGTAAACACCTGCTTCTGCTGAACAGATCTATACAACGGTGTATTTTTGGGTCTTGAGCTGATAAAACACTGCACATTGTCAATGCTAGAGTTGAAACGTCAAGAATTGCAGTATGAAAAGCTGAAGTCTGTTGGTTATTGCTGAAAGGTATGAAAGCAAAGGACCTCAGAGAGCTGGTAGTCCACCCATTTGCATTACAACAGGATAAAATGTATTCAAGCTATTCCTGAAATAAGTTTAATTTCTTCATAGTCACTGAAAATAAGAGTTTGTATAGTCCCCTGGCTTCAGTAGTTCACTGTCCTTTGTTATGATATTTCTTCCTCTGATATTCAACTTAAAATTTCTTTGCTGCAGATTGAACCTGTTTCTTCTCATACCCATAGCAGTCACAGAGAACAATATCTTACTGGTCTCTTAACAATGTTTTATATGTTGGAAGACTTCTATAGACTAAAATGTCCCAGATCCTCCTAGGTGGTGCTTTCCACGTTTCAGTGTGTTTTTGCTGCTGTTGCCTGGCTCTCCTCTCTTTGATGATAGCTTATTTCTAAGCCAGAATCACTACCTCTTTGGTCTGACACATGACACACTTAATCTTAAGCAAGCCCACAATGAGAATTATCATTTTGGTAACTGCAGTTTGTGATCTGCCTGAATTTCTTGGTTCTTTTCTGCAGTCTGGCTATTTTTTTCTATGTTTTGTGCTTATGTGTTTGGCTTCTTCCCTCTGTTTGCGTTTGCCTTTATGGTATTTCAGTATGTTGGTTCCAGACTCTTTTTCCATTTTAGCAAGGTAGCTTTTAATTCTGATCCCATTTTCCAAAGACTTTTCAAACTTTCTTTCTGCCCAGCATTCAAATTGTGAATGAAGACATTAGCTTAGTACCTTGCTCAGGACAACACAGTGAAATCTCCACTTGAAGTTTCCTTTCAGTTTAACAGTAAAGAACTGATGGTATCTCTTTGTACACTTACCTTATCTATACTGTACCTTGATTGATTGCTTATTAAAATACCAAGACGGTTCTTCCATATGTCCACTGCATAAGTTACCCTGTCAGAGAAAGAAGTTAAATTCATTTGACATGAGTGACTCTTGCCACTTACATTTTGGCTCGTTTTTATTTTGAGGACTGGTGGTAGGTGAGCTGTAATCTCTTGATTATCCTTTAGACCCTTATAGATTGTTGGATAATTTATTCCTGAATATTTCTGGTAATTGGGGTTAGACTGGTTGGTCTAAAATTTTCTGGCTCCTTTTCATCCTGGTACAAAATAGGTCTCGTGTTTGCATCCTGCCAGTCCTCTGGGACAATACTTGTTTGTCCTTAATTCTTCAGCATGCTCACTAATGGTTCCAACCCTCCAAAACATATTTTTGGAGATCTTTCAGATCAGCTACTTCAGATCTGCTGCCTTTGTATGTCAGTCCTCGCTAATGCAGATGTGGCCCTAGCTGCTGGCCAGAGGGGAAGGGTTGCGGACCTGGGGCTGCAGGGCAGGAAGAAGATCTGAGCACCAAAATATTCTCCAAACAGTTATAGCTTTTCTGACCTGTCATATTTCTTATTTGACAGATAAAGTCCATCAGAAATGATGCTCTGATGACTCAGTTCCTTTGTTAGGGAAAAAACCTCACTCATTGTTTATTTTCTTTTCAATTGTGGCCTCATATTATAATATGATACTGTTTGGTTTTCCCTATTATCTTCATCTGGGGCAATCAACACATGTTCCCTTCACATCTTTCAGCACCTCTGATATGCAGAGGATCATGACTTTTCACTTCTCTTCTGTCAGTCTTTTTCTGAAAAGCAACTTCTTTTCCACATGTTCGTGGTGCTTCATCCCTAGCTTTATCCCCAGTTCTTTCTGTGGCCATAGGCAGAGGTACGCCAGCCGGAGTCACCTGCTGACAGCAGCCCTCGTGGTCTGGGTCACCCTGCGGCCGGGGCCTGACCCCACCGCTCTTTGCATTCCTCATCCTCCCCTGGGCTCTGCAATATCCCATCTGTGCTGGGGGAGCTCCTCTGCAGTCCGCTCCCTTGGGTTGCTCTTTTCCTCATTTACCCACCGTCAGAAGAAAGCATGGAAGTTTGCTCCCATTTCTTAACTGAGGCAGAAGGAGAATTTTGGGAGCAGGATGTGGAGATCCAGCGATGTATCACTGAAAGAAGGACTTGTTGGCAGTAATTTCGACTCTTCTAGTTTTTCCTTTTTTTAAGCCAAGATATAATGTTTGATGTTTTTCTCTTTGAGTTCATATAAGTTGTTTTGCCAGCATATATTTTGAACAGGGTCCATTGCAAGCAGTACGTTGAAATGTGTCATGAATCTTGAGGCCTCTGGAAGGGTAGAAACGCTTCCCCAAAATGGCCTTCAGCTTTCAGATATGAGCTTACTTGTGCAACTTTCTCAAACTAAAATGTGGGTGTGCTCTCTACATCTTGCCTTTTTTAACTCCTTGGTTTTCTTAGCCAAAAGAAAGAAATTAATGTGTCATACTGCCTTCCATATTGAGAAACTCAGAAATACTGGATCCAGTCTTGCAAGTTGGAATACGTCAGATTAATTACAGTTTACACCAACCTCCTGTATGCAGAGAAGAACTCATTTTTGAAAGCAGTGTTATGAATAGCATGAACTCATACTCCTTTCAAGTGTCCTGCCATACACATCTTTATACATCATACTTTGGGATATAAACTACTATAGAAAAGTGCAAGAACTGGCTTTCCATGGCACAGAAGAGCAAGTTTTGGGAATTAAATAAAGAAGTTGTGTTACAATAAATTCTCCGTTGACCTAAGTAAATTACAAATGCTTTTCTTTTCTCCATGTGCTTCTGCATTTCTCAGAGAAATTACGGACTTGTGCTGACCAATTAAATGAACACTTCCTTTCAGATTTCTTTTTCCATGTGTATCATATTTTATATGACATAGATCACAATATGCAAAGCAAAAGCCAAATAATTTCTAAAGTTAGCCTTTGAATGTGTTGCTTTTGTTATTTTTCTGATTGTTACTTTTCCTTTGCACTTATTATTGATATTTTCTGTTGCTTGCCTCTAATTATCTTACATTAATTTTTCCCATTTGCTTTCTAAATTATTTTGCAGCTATTCCTCTCCACTCCCCCAGTATGATTCAAGGTGATAACTCTGTGCTTTATGTGAATCCTCATTTTATTTTCTTTTTTGTTTTAAACTTTTTTCCCCACAGAGTGTGTGTAGATGTTTGTAGTGCATCCGCCCACATCCTCATCCCTTCCATGTATTCAAGTAGAAATGCTCATTAGCATTTAGCGTTGTGTTTTAGAGATCATATTGTAGTTTCCATTATTAGTGCAGCATTAATTTAGGTAAGCATCGACTACTAATCTTTTTGATAGAAAGTGCATGAAATACTATTTGGAATTATTTCTTATTGTTTTAAATGGTTAACTACTAATTTGAAAACTAAACAAGGAAGTAATTAATGTGCTGTTGACAATGATTACTTTTATGTGGCAGCAATATGCATAAAGTCTGATCTGCTGAAGGTTTTGCCTTCACTGAAGGCTGCAGTGTGGTGTAGACATCAAAGCTGGCTGTAATGGGCTAGTTCCTGTGGTGGGGCATGGACTCATGTCAAGGGTTAATCTACCCTTGCTGTGAGAGTGTACATTAGCAGTGCTAAGCCCCAGGTTGCCAAGGCTGGACTGACCTTGAAATCTACAGCCTAAACGTACCTGAGAACTTGGGGCCTGATTTTTATAGGTACTTAGTTTTAACTTCCATTGAATTTTTTTTTTAATTATTAATTTAAGTCAGTTGATTTAGGTGCCTAGAGATTTTTGACAATTCACTCTTACATACTTGCATCATTTAAATGCTTTGGATACAGAGACAACATCTTATCTGAGTGCAAGCTTTGGCATTTTTGCATTAGATGAAAAACTCCTTTTTTTTTTATTAACTCTGAGCTGGCTCAATATGCCAGTAATCACGTACATGATAAGCAGCTCTCCAAAACATTGCTTTGTACTGAGCCACCAGGCCAAGCCCAGCCTTGCCAAGCTCCCCAGGAGGCCCCTCTGCTGCTCTGTGGTGCACCGACCAGATGTGCCTCCCCAGAGCTGCTGCCGCATCGACCCTGAAGCCAGCCACCCCTCCGCCCTGCGCGCTTCCGTGTAGTCTGAAGTGGCCCCATCTTCTCTGCAGACAAAAACCACGCACATTTTCAAAAGGCTGCCAAAGCACCAATTCCTTTCAGTATTCTCCCTTTGATGACCAAGGGCTGTGGGTCCCTGCTTAATATTTTACTTTGCTTCATAGTAAATTGTAATGGATTGTCTTGAACTCTCTTCACAGCTAGTCACAAGCTGGCTCCTTGCCGGCTCTGAAGACGAACCATTGGCCTACCCTTCTACATGTTCAGTGGCATCTGCCTGCTGCCATCAGCCTTCACCATCCAGCATATAGAGCAGCTGCAGGGAGAAAAAGCGACATAAGCATGCTGACAGACTAATAGTGCTCAGTGAGCAAAGGGGAGAGGGAACTAGAGGTCCAGGCTTGGTAGAGCTGGCACCTCTGCTTGGTACAGCCTTCTGCTAGCGAACAGAAAAGTGTTCCAGTCAACAGAGTTTACAGACATCTAAGATCTTGTATTCTATAAATATTAAGATTAACATAATAATTTCAAGATTAAGCATATTATTTTTGACATAGATATAGTATTTGTAGAAAGCGCTTGGTTAGCCATTCAGCAAAGATCCTGTCCCACTGAAACTATTCCTCTTAGAAGGAATTGGGATACCCTAGCGGCAGCGTTTGGATTTGTTCGTTAGAGTACGGTGTGTTGATCTAGGAGAGAAATGTGCGTACAATTTATTTGTATGAAAACTACTGTGAAATGTCATGAATTTTGTTCCATCCTTCAGTATTGTAAAGTGTTTGGGGCACAAGAAATGATAAATTTGGTTAGGGTCATCTCAGAGGGCTGTTTCACCTCCACATCTTTACTGATGGATTTTAATTTGGTTTGAAGAAAGATAATGTAGCAATTTCTTTATCTGGAGTTCAGTTGGACAACCTTTCTGTCCTGCTTCATATATTTACAGCTTGTGTCCCTACCCGCCTGTCTCCTGCAGGCCACTAAATACCAAGTTTTGATTACACTCCTGCTTTTGTGCAGATTTTTCCCACCCACGTTGGCCGGACTTCCAAATGCAGCTTATTTGCAGGCCTGGCCAGTACATGTCAGCCGTTGCTTTTGATATCCTGCTGGTCTCAAAAGCCAGTGTAAGAGTCTTACACAGATTCCCATTCATACTTTGGAGCACTTGAGAGTTTTTTAAAGAATCTTCATGACCCCCCCTGGATTATTGGCTGTTACCCTTAGTTCAGTTTACAGTAGGGAACCAGGAAAATGAATGGATTCACCTGTTAATCATGTGAAGGTTTAGTTCTTAAGATCTGGAAGTTTTGGCAACAGCCTTGAAAATCATGAAACCATACAGCAAATGTGCTAGCTGTGTCAGCATCTGCATATCATCCAGAAGCAGCAAACAAAAAATGTATTGGCATCACATCTGAGTTGGTAACTCATGTCCCTTTTGATACTGGCCTGTTATTGCATCTTTTTCCCGGAGCTCTTCTCTCCCAGCAGCTTACAGTACAGAGGAAAAGGGAAGGTATTTTGAAGCACCAGAGGAGACCCCTCGTAACTGTTTAGCACTGCAGGAAGCTGTGTGTTTTGATCCCCATAAACTGGAAGGATTTTTGCCGCAGTTTTGAAACAGGCTGAAGTCTGGTTTTGGTCCTGGAAGGAAACTCCACTTTCCAGTCATTGTTCTGTTAAAGACAGTATCACTTCACCTGTGCAGCTTCTCAGCATTTCATAGATTAAATAAACAATGGCTATTAACGATTATTCTTGTTGATATTCATTATTCCCTTGCTAATAACAAGAATTTTATTTTAAAATCTACCACTCACCACTTACAAATATAATTGGTTGCCCTTCTAATATTAAATGGAAAATTATGCATTGGAATGACACTGGCAAATGCGATTTTTATTTAATGTCAGTTTTTGCTAATGAATGTCACCTTCACAGAGGAGTAAAGGCATGATTTCCTCCAGAGTGCCAACAGCCTAAAGAAAGTTATGTACTTGATATTGTCACTCCTTCCCCATCAATGGAAGCCCTTAGTAGCCTTGACTGACTGTCACCAATGGTGCCAGCACTCGCTCTGCCAGCCATCAGGACTGTTTGCAAATGAGACAGGAGGTTTTGAAAACTGAGATCCCCAAAATAATAAGCATTTTTTATTCTTTTTCTACACTGTCTAGTTCCTTTCTGCATGTGAGGCTAATTCCTCTTGTTTGTGGACAGTACAGCTAACAGCAACAGAGATATGTTTTTAAATTCTAGTAAACCACTACTAATACACTACTTGTGTACCCTTTCAATCCAAATTATTCAGTAGCACCTGTTCGTTTCACCATGATGTTGCTAGACCTTTTATCAATTCCTGCTTTTGATAACCAATAGTTAACATGTAAGTATAAGTTTTAAAAGAATCTTTATGTTCCTTTTAGTTTAGCTGGGACTGGGAGGATTTTTCTAACAGTGTTTTAAAGACTGCTGCAATTGACTTTTTGCTGATCTTTTGCTTGTTTGTGACCATTTTCATTGACGTGTTTCCTTTTTCCTACAGTTTCCTGGTTAGTTTTATGGTTGATGCACGTGGGGGTTCGATGAGGGGTAGTCGCCATCATGGAATGAGAATAATTATCCCACCACGCAAGTGTACGGCACCAACCCGCATCACCTGCCGCTTGGTAAAGAGGCATAAACTGGCCAGCCCACCACCAATGGTTGAAGGAGAAGGATTAGCGAGTAGACTTGTAGAAATGGGGCCAGCAGGTGCACAATTTTTAGGGTGAGTTGTTCTGTGAATTTCATTGTTTACACTCATGTTGCATCTTTCATTTCCTTTATCCTGTGGATCTAAGTAGTTAAACATTGACTCTACCTCATTTGAGCGTGTAAGATAGGCTACATAACTTGAAATGTTAAAAAATGCCAACCTGCCATTCCTTCCAGAAAATACCCTTGTACTTTAAGGGGAGCTGTGTCTCTATGATGACTATAGAATGGAGCCAAAGGTAAGGAGAGCCATGAAAAGGCCAGGTCCTGCCCCCATCTACTCATGCAACCTGCCTTTGAAGTCGGGAGGAGTCACACACCTATAACTTAGAACAGGTTTTGACTCTCTTGCTCATAGAGTGTCAGAGAAACATCACTGTCACAAAAAAGTGTCCTAAAGTCACCCACAAGGACCCAAATATTGAGATCTGTTCCCTATGGCACGTGCATGGCTCCTGCCAGAGTTGCTGGGAGCTGCCTGTCTCTGTCCCGTGGAGCAAAGACACTGAAGAGCGATGGCGGAGCACTTACTGTAGAGCATCAAGTAGTACAAATGCTAGGAACTGACCATTTTTTAAGCTTAAAATAGGGGAAACAATCCACTATGATATGGCTTTTTTTTTTTCCTAATTATAAATTTTGTTCATTACCATGAGTGGCACCCTGGTGTAAACTGCTGGTTCTGTCGGGAATGACAGCTTGTTCCTAATTTCCCCTTCTCGTTTCTCTTCCTGCTGCATGGATGTTATTCAGTAAACTGCATCTTCCTAACACTCCTCCCCCTCTAAATGAGGGTGAGAGCATGGTTAGCCGAATCCTGCAGCTTGGTCCACAAGGAACAAAATTTATTGGGTAGGATATGTACGGAAAAGATAAAGAATGTCTACAGTTTTTATTTTGTTTCCAATTTTTTGTTATTCCCATTTTATTTTTTTTTTAAGTTTTCTAAAGCTTTCAGTTGATTTATGTCACTGAAAGAAAATCATAGTGGCTTGATTTAATAGCTCTGCTACTACCTTGTGCTTATAGGCATGTAAAATTCACTGCCAGCATTCTGCTTTCATAACTTTTGTGCTTTTGTAATTTCTTAAATTTGAAGTGTTTCAACTGCATCAAATACATTTTAATATACAGTGACAGTCCTTTAAGTTCAACCCTGTGGTAGAGAAGGTATTTACAGGCCTTGTGCGAGTCTGTTTTGGGAAGAGTATTTGTAAAATGTGATCGCATAAAGTCTATTATTTATGAAAGATTATTTAGAAAAAATGTCATTGAGTGAATGACCTCATTCAACAAGGTTGGAGAAGTATTAATCTTTTCAACCTACATGAGGCATCTTGTTAAAATAAATTTATAAAGCCAAGTGTGCTACCCAAAGGAACTGGAGTGTATAGTCTAAAAATGTAAGAATGTTGCCATATATTTTTGACTGTTGTTTTCAAACCATATTGTGAAATTTATTGCATTAGGTTTTCAAAATAGTGGTGAGTGTTTGGTGTTCCAAACCTGTTCAATACCTTCTCACTGAGTATTCTTGTTAAATGTCATGCACAAAATCGTGTGGTTTCTAAATATTTACAGAGACAGTATCTGAAATATTAGCCTGCAAAGATTGTACTATAGTGTTAGTTTTCAGTTTGTACTCTTTTTGAACTAGAGAGTAAATAGATACACTAAGCAATGTATTTGAATTTTTGCTGTGCACAATGGGAGACAGCAGCTACATTCCGATTTCTTCTTAAAGGACTTGAGATTAGAGTAATAGCCTGGTGGTTCTCAAAAGCATCTAAAGTATTAATTAAACTGTCTTTTTCTGTTTTCCTGGGAAAAAATACTATCTAACTCTTCTCCCTTGGTCTTTAATGGGAAAACTGGACTTCCAACTAGTTGATGTTTTTCCTCTTGATAGCTGTTGTGATTTCTGTGCTTAAGTAATTGATTGGTTAATGGACCCGACACCTTGCAGGTGTACAGTACCACAGAAGTGCTGCATACTTCTCCCATCATGTGATGCCACTTTTAACTGAGTTATTACAAAGCAGTGAAATCCTTTACAACCTCTGTAGGAAAATAATGATACTGTCTATTTAAATGTCTTAAAGCTGCATAATCCATAATTGTTCACTTACTGTGTGATTTCAGTCGGTTTGTCTTAGCATATTTTAAAATGCATATCCTGCCTGTGAAGTGTTTGGCAAAAGTGTCTGTTTTGTTAAGGAATGGCACATGAAGTGAATGGTGGTTTCTGTCGGTTGTTCACAATAACTGTTCAGTAATGCACTTGCAGTCCTCTGTTGAAGGTACATTGTCTGGTGACATAGGTGTATTATTAACCACCTTCTCATTCCTTTTCCTTCCTCCCCCAAAATGTTTGACAGTAACTAATATAAATGTGGTCATGATGTTGCTTAACTGAGAGCAATCCATCCTGAAAGGATCTAAACATTCCCCAGCAGTGTTTACAGGGCAGACATTGCAGCTGTGATTTTGGGCATGAGAACCAGAAAATGAAGTTAATGAGAAACAACCTCTTGTGTTTCACAGGAGCTCCATCAACAGAGAGCCAGGGAGAGCTTTGAAGAGTTTGGGACTTAGTTTGAATTTGAAAACCTATATACATGTGCAGCTCCTGCTGCAGTCAGTAGCTGTTGCATGCATTTGGATAGATGGACTGTTTCTGAACTGACTTTGCCCCTTTAGATCCCTTGAGCCAAATCCAAATTTTCACTATGCTAATGCCAATTAAAAGCCAGCAGTGCTCTGTGTGCTGGAGGCAGGTTGGATCACCTATATCCTGGGATAAATGAGCAGGGGGAACTCTCCTTAGCAAAAGTTGTCACTGTTTTTTTCAAGTAGGCAGCTGTTTCAGAAGATTTATGTTAAAAATGAGCTATGTATGAATATTTTCAAGTTATCTATTAATTATAGTTTAAATGATGAAGGATTGTGCAACTTTGGCAATTTCAAAAACATTTTTACCATAACAGTGCTAACTATTTAAAATGACTGTAGTTTTCTTAAGGACTTAACACCCATAGGAAATTAAGGGCAGTGAGGAGATACAGGATTAAAAAATAATACAATTCCTTTTTCTCTAGCCCCGTCATAGTGGAAATCCCACATTTTGGATCAATGCGAGGAAAGGAAAGAGAACTAATTGTACTTCGAAGTGAAAATGGTGAAACATGGAAGGAGCACCAGTATGACAGCAAACATGAAGACTTAACCGAAATACTCAATGGCATGGATGAAGGTAAATGTTTTCTCAAAGCTTTAGCAAGCCTTACCTTTGTGCAGGCTTGCTAACATGAGCGGACTAAAGCAACCTAAAGTAAAACAGAGCAGGGGATATCTGACTTTGGGGAATACAGTGTGTGTT